ATTATTTTTTCTTTATTCATTGGTTAATTATAAGTAACTTTCAAAATGTCATTTAATACTGCTTTCCTCATAAGGACTTCTTAGTCCGTGACTATCAGCTATTAGAGCTGAAAAGGAAATCACGTCCACTGTCCTGCTTCACCTGCTCCACTACATGTAATAAGAAATGAGGATTTTATATTTTTTCAATCACTGCATTTCAGCCTAAATCAGCATCTGCCATAATAAAGAAGAACCTAAAAATAAATTCTGTGAAAGTTAAAAGGAAATTTTCATTAAGGTGATATTACTATTGAAAAATCCAAAGAAGTTACTAGGGCAGCTTTTCACACTTCAGAACATTTCCAAAGTTCCCCAAAAATAAAAAAAAGGAGGTAATAGACCAGCAGACTGAGCCAAAACAGATTTTGCTATCAGATGTCATTAGAAGTCAGCAGAGTACAAACTTGCAAAAAATATTTTTTACTTTTTTAAATATAGATTGCAGTCTTCCAAATCTAACACAAATAAATAAAGAAATAAAATAGAAGGAACAAATAGTTCAGCTAAGAAAATCTATAGAATACATTTTAAGCATCTCAGGCACTATATTTAGCTATTTAAGTATGAATTTAAATTTTCAAACTGTTACCTGTTAATCAAGTATTTGTCTCATCAAAGGTGTCTTTATGTCACATTATTTAGGAAGATAACAAATACAGTGCTGTTCCATTTGTAGTAGGGTGAGTTCAGCTTTGCTGTCTCCATCAGAGTGCAGCAGAACTGCATTACAGCTAACACATTTAAATCTTTCATTAGCAACAAAATTCAGTGTAGGAAAAGAAACAGAATTAAATTTAATCCTATTTTTACAGATCACTTAAAAATGAGGGATAAATGACAGCTAAAGAGAAAAGGAAAGACTGTGTTGGACAAATCTAAAGCTGTTTGAAGTGGCTGCTATTTATTCCTATATGCTATTCCAAAGGATATTCACTGCAGACTGTGGGTACCACACAATACTGCAGTAAGGCCAGAGGCACCAAGTCTTAATTGACTGTCTCCTGAGCTGTCCACACCAAGGTTAAAATGCTATCCAGACCTCTAACTCTGAAAAGCATTTTGGATACACCTTTCTATACATTCCTGCTTATGTTCTTACTCTACCTAGATTCCTTCCTGTGCACAAAACAGCAAGATCCCTCACCCTGAAAAAAAGAGGGGGAGTCCTATGGGCCCAGTTTGCCTACTGAGATAAATGTATGGTCCATCATGGACACAAATTGGAAAAACACTTTGTGCAGCAGTGAGCAAGTTCATTGGATGATTCAAGTCAGGTTCACCCCTGGCTTCTGCCCTTTTTGCAGTGAGGAGATGCCAGCACATAGCATTTTCTTCATGTGTGCCATACTGCAGTCCCTCTGGCAAACAGATCTCACTTCTTTATTCTTATCCTCCTTATCAAAGACCACACCAAGTCCTGCGACTTTCTCATCAACATCCATTAGCCCTTGCCAAAACTGCAGCCCATGGACCCTGAAGAAACAAGCTCATCCAGGCCCCATTTTTTAGTTCTTGTCCCACCACATCTTTAGGAAGTGCATTCCTAGCCACTGTGCACCAGCTCTGAGCACTTTCAGGGTACGCTGAGTGCTATTGGGAGTGTTCTGTCTAACACTCCCCTTAGTTCCCCTCTTTTCTTTTTTCTACATTTTTGTCTTTCAGCCCTCTTCCTTTTCCTTATTTGTCATCCACTCTATTAAGTTTTCTCTATTAAGCACCCTCTCTTTTTGCTTTGGTTTTATAAACAAGAGATATATAATAATAAGGTTAGTAGAGGTGGTCTGGTTTCTCCACAATAGAGAAAACTCAGTGGCCATGAGGGGCAGGGTTGCAGTCCCTACATATCTCCTGCATGGCAATGAGAAGCGACAGCTGGCTCAGCAGCACAGCTCCTGTGCTGCCTTCTCCATCCCACAGGAAGGGGAGATTTCATCCTGCTCTGACACCAAAACCCTGCACCACCACTGCATCATCTCTGCTGCCACCATCCCCACCTTCACCACTGACCTCCCTCTCCTCTCTGCCCCAACACGTGTGGGGCTGCAGCAGGGCACCACTCCCCACTCCAGGCAGCCAGACCTCCAGGAGCTCAGGGGTGGGAAGAGCCAGCTGCTGCTCCTGTGATGGGGATGGGCAGCCTCAGGCAGATATGATGCTAAATTCCATCTGCATGGAAGGGAAATCTGAAAAGTATTGTTAAAAATGACATATTACATTTGTATACACACACAAAAACCCCTAAATTAAAACTCAATCTCAATACAAGATAATGAAGTTTGCAAATAAAAGGTGCATGTTTGTCACACAAAGCATTACTGATGCTGAGAAGGACTTCTGTGACAAAAAAAAAAATCTATATGAAATAAAGCAACTTTAGAAAAAAAATATATATGTAATTATATACCACTACTTTTACTAAAGTAGTAGTACTTTTAATTGTACTAAAAGTACTATTTCTTCTTTCACTTTGTTGGCAACAATCAGAGTTTGTAACTTCTGCAGCTACTTCTGTTAAATGTATCACATACACGGAAATTGTCATGCAGAATTTCCACATAAACAATAAGTGTTAATTAGACTGTGGAACCCAAGACAACTTCCCTTATCCTAATTTTCACAAGCATGCTCTAAAGAATCCTAGGTATTCCTAAATCTGTTATTTAGTGTAATCAGTGTCTGCCATTCTATACTGTCTCATGGCTGCAAGGAGCAAACAGCAGGAAGGGTTTTGTTATCCTATATTAAGCTGTACTTTGAACATTTTCTGTGAGAGAAGGGGCCACTATGAAGACAGACCAAATAGGCACTGGATTGTAATGGAGCCCTCTTGGTGACATCACTGCTTACAAACTGCCACCATCCTACCCTAAATTCACTCACCTGGAGAAAACACTACCCCCCCAGCCAGGCCTCACCTCCTCAGCACGTCTTGGGTGCAGGACGCTGCCAGCGCCTCTGATCTGCAGCATAACCATCCACAACTGATCTAGTGGTGACACACATTAAAATCCAGCTACAGATCAGTGTCACAGAAACCCCTCCACACCAGTGCCTCCTCTCTAGCTCAACACTGGTGTTGTACAAATCCATAGATTTGACTCCAACCCAGACACCACTGAAAGTTCAGTCGGCTTCACTCAGCAGTCTCCTGGGTCCTAAAAGACTGGTCTCTGAAGTCAGTGGAAGATCTTCTGACTGGAAAATAAAAGTTGTTTTGTTCTCAGTAACCTAAAATAAAACTACAAAGGTTGAAGAAACATTATAAATTCCTAGTATAACAATTTCTGACACTGGCATATACTGTGGAGTCCAAAATGCTGAAGAAATATGTTCATTATGAGCTTGTTTGGTCTCAGCACACAAACTGTAACCAATTTTTAGCATATGCAATTCTACATGCATTAAGCATAAACAGAGTCAGTATTATAAATTCTTGACTCTTTACTGATATAAAAAGGTTATAAAATTATCTGGAAAATGAAACAATGAATGCTCCAAAGCTATATAAAAACCAAATTAATGAATCCTTAAACATTAAATCACCAGCATTCCCTCACATTACATTTCTCTAGAGAGGTGATCTCCACTAACTTCTTCCCTTTTCAAATAAGATATATACCACAAGATATTAAGGAGTGGAAATAAAGCACAAAGAGAACTGTAGGGTTTCCTTGGATCTGTAAGGACAGATTTTGAAATACTATTTAACTGAGGTAATCAGCGCTACAGGTGCTCACTTTAAGGTATGTTTTGCAAACTCTTCTTCAAAACCATAATCCATTTTCATCAGTTGCAGTCTTTATAGACAAATACGTTATGTCCTGATTCAACCAGAATTGAAATTAATGTTCACTGAAGGCTACCCTCAAGTGAAATCAAACAATTGACTCAATTAGTTAAAAAAAAAAAAAGAAAAAAAATTAGTTATGGTCTATTAAAGAAAATAAAGGATTAAAAGAAACATTAAGTAGGAAAATGTATTTCTAAACTCAGCTCTTCACATCATGCACCAGTATAATGCAGTGGCTCAGTTCAAAATCCAACAAGAGAAAATGGGAGAATTCCTACGGAGAAAGAATTAAACATTTTCATTTCTGGCCAAAAAAAATTGATTAGATACAAAAATAAAGATCATTTCATATAATTTAAGTTTTCAATTACACTGCAAGATTTTTTCTTTTGAGCCTGAAGCACAGTCTTATAGCCACTCAGTTGTTATAAATTCCTTAAGTACCCATTCACAGTAATTGGAAGAAAAAGCTGGGGATCCAGCTCCTTCCTTCTTCCTAATTTGACAAGTACTGGAGATAAAAGTGTTACTTTCTAGTTTGTTTGGAGGTATTTTCTTTTTTTTTTTTCCTTTCTTTTCTAAAAGTTCAGAAGACAATAAGAATAGTGTGAACCAGAGTTTAAGACTGACAATTAAAACAGAGCAATTTGGTGTCCCTGAATTCCCAGAAGCTAAACTAGTTCTGGCAGTCACCTCTAGTAACCTGCTCTTCTCCTAAGGCACAGACACACATACATGCACACATGCCTACACCTTCTGAGCAGAAAGAAATAAATTGATTAAAAATACATCTGTGCCTAACTTGGTTTAAGTCACTCATTGCCTGTTGACACAACACTGTGACTTGGCAAGGGTCGTATCTAAAACTCTACTCTAATGAATAAAATTCCAATATATGGACTTGGATCTGTTACACCATCCCAGGGGTGCAGAAGACAGGGCTGCTGACATCCTGGAAGCTGGGGGCCAGGCACAGCTGTTTCCAGATACCCTTTAACTTCAATAAGTACCACTTGCCATCAGCCATTGAGGGAAGAAGCATGGGCACCTCACAGGTTGGAATGAGGGGATTACAAAGCAGGGACACATTATCTAGAGAGATGCTTTACCTTTCATCCAGCCTTAGCCCAAGTTGCAGAGAGCTGAAGTGGCATCCCAGCTTTCCTACCTGTCAGCACTGAGGGCAGTGAGGGTGAAGACAGAGACACCAACGGAGGTCAGCTGGATGACAGGGATGAGCTTGCAGCCAACTTCCCCGAAGAGCCACTCTTCAGAGAAATACCGGGAGGCATCCACAGGCACACAGGTCACTAGCAGGAGCAGATCACCAGCGGCGAGGCTGGAGATGAAGATGTTTGGCACACTTCTCATGGCACTGTTGGAAATGAAGATCTTCATGAGGGTGACGTTGCCCAGCAAGCCGACAGTGATGATCAGCAGGTAAAGTGAAGGGATCACACAGCGGATGATGAACACGGCCGTACCTCTCCCCGCGGACAGCAGGGCTGTGTCGGGCACCGGCTGGACACTCCTATTCTCCCCGAGGGGAATTGCTGTCAGCTCGGGCGGGGGCTCTGGCTCCATTCTCCAGCTTCGCGTGGACTGACGGTCTCAAGTACAAAGTGCAGTGGGAGCCACAGCAAAGCTTCACCTCTCTGCAAGTCAATCAACTTTCCCCCGCTTCTCTACTGCCCTTCTTCGCTGAGTTTTCCCCCTTAAGAAATGCAGAGGAATGTCAGCCGGCGCAGCTGCCGGGGAGGGAAATAGAAGCTCCCGTGCTCTGCCGCTCGGCTCTTCGGACAAGCGTCTCCCTGCGGGCGGGAGATCCCGGGCCCGGGGGCAGAGAACGCCGTCGGGACAGCGGCCACCTGCCCGGGCCCCCGGGAGCTCCCTGGGCGCGCCGCTCCTGCCGTGCCCGAGGCCCGGTCCGGTCCGGTCCGGCCGCTCTCCGCGCCCGCGGAGCCGCCTGCGCTGTCCAGCGGCGCCGCTGCTGCCCGAGCTGCCCGGTACTGCTGGTGCTGCCCGGTACTGCTGGTGCTGCCCGGTACTGCTGGTGCTGCCCGGTACTGCTGGTGCTGCCCGGGCCGCGGGGGCGGGGGGGAGGCGCAGAACGAGCCCACTCCTCACTCGGCAGCCCGGCTTATACCTGGTACCGGGAGGGGCCGCCCCGCCCCGCCACTCCTCCTGCGAGCCCCTGTGCCCTCGCCCCAGCCCCGCGCTGCCGAGGACGATCTTGCGGTGAAGGGAGAGGCGGATCCCGGAGCCGTCCCGCGGGGTGCCAGCCCCTGAGCGCCATGGGGACGACGTGGGGAGGGGGAGCGGACAGGGAAGGCTCCAGCCCCGCCGCTGCCCACTGCAAAGCAGCCCCTGCCAGGCTCTGCCCGGCAAACCGGAGAGCTGTCCGACACGTCGGACAGAACGGGGATCGCCTCCGGAAACTCGTCTTTCAGCATCTCACTCAGGTGAAACCACAGTGCTTTGAAACGCAGGGTGGCAGGGAGCGAGGGGCGTGAGAATGAAGGGATTTTATTCCTGACATCCTCCTGTAGGTTCTGCATAGATTCTACTGAAAGACATCAACTGTGTTTAAAGTTTTAAGGGTTGATTTGTGAAGCTGCATTTCACGGTGGTCTTGACTATGGAAAGGGGTACAGGTGATGTGCTTTATCCGTGACTTACTCTGCAAATGGAATAACACAGTGGAGAATGAATTTTGTTTGCCTCTTTGAAGAGTAGAATTTGTCCCTAATGTTTCTTGTTTTTCAGTGAGGTAATGTCTTTTACTTCTCAGTGTCTGCACACGTATAGGCTTTCCAAACACCTCCATCTGTTTCCAGCAGAAGCCATGAATGTAGGTAACCATGTAAATACGCTGGAAGACAGGCAGACCCATTGGACTGAAGTTTCCAAGATAAAATGTTAAGGTAGAAGAATAACAGCATTTGCCAGTAACATGCTCTGCAGACTGATTCCTTTATTTCTTTTTCTCAAAAGAGAGCTTGTAGAGAACTAGCTTGTTCATATTACTACAGCAGTTCTCTTGCAGCTCTATGAGTTTATGATAGGTCTATGGAGAGTCTGACCACTGAAATACCAGAATCAAAGCATGTCACGTGTGCATAGCCTGTCCATGACATGCTGTCTAGTGTAGGAATTAAATCAGTGATTTCTTCTTAAATAAGCTTTTGCTAAGATTATAAAAAAAATAATTAATGTTACTTAAAAGTTACACTTGTCTATATCTATTTGTTGATCTTTGTAACTCCTCTCACATCCCTGAATATATAAATGTGTTAAAGCTGTGTAAATTACTGATTCATATAATGCTGAGTAATTAGTTTGAACCCAACCAGTGCTAGGCCTCAGTGAAGATCAGGCTAGACACTTCACCTTTACCACTAAGCAGCTCATCACAGTCATCACAGAGCTCCTCTGGAGGTGACTCTTGTTACTGATCAAGTTTTCTCCACACGGTTTTAAATCAACTGTGCTCCCTCTGAGGCAGCCTTACTGATGGCTTACATACTTATATAAATTGATGTGACCCTCTACTTTGTTGAGCATACATGACATTTTCTAAGATCAACAACAGTCATGTTTCTGTTATTCAAATCACTCTTTTTTGTCCCCATTGGCTGGATCCAATATAAGTCTTTAACACTGTGAGTTTAACATTGGGAGTATGGTCCTTTTGCTAATTTGTTTGAAAATGGGTTTATATATTAACAGACAGTATGATTCCCATTGGGAGAATAGTTTAAATTCAACATATCTTTAATATTGCTTTTTTGGACAAGAGGAAGTTGAGTCTTTTTGCATGAATATCAACAAAAGAACACTTTTAAAACTTCTATTCATATAAACATACTGCAGTTTGCTTGGAGAGAGGTCAGACTCCTTGCTTTTTGTTGCACATCACCTCCACTCCTACTGCTGGCTTCCAGGAGAATTTCTTCTATCCTAGTGAGTTTTATCTGTCCTTTAGTTCACTGGATGGAATTCCTAAGGTTGAAGAATTAGAAACATTTTCAGTGGAAATTTACATTCTTGATTTTTATCAGTACTTGATTTTATCTACTCCATTTTTTTTAGAACTCTAACAGCAAGGAAATAAGCTTTGAAGAAAGTGAATGTCTCCAGCTCAGGGAAAACAGAAAGTTGGATTATGCTTCTAATGTTGTTCAGCAGATGCCTGTGTAAAATCAATGGAATACACTCAACGAGTGTGAATATAATTTCCTGCAGAGGTAAAAAGGCGTATGTCTTTTTACCAAGATCCACAGACCCTGAGATAAACCAGTCGGAGTTCAGACCTCCACATACAAACTGTTCATCATTCTCTTTTCAAACAAGAGTTCACCCATATCTTTGGATGTTATTTCAGACTACAGCCTAGAGACAATTCCATTGTGCAGCTCTGACACAGTTCTTGGCATAAGAGTGAGGGAGAGAGTGCCACAGGTGAACCTCCCCAGTGGGAAAGAAACTGCACAGGCACAATCAGCCACCACAGATGGAGAGCATCTGGGAGTGCAACACTGTAGGGCAGAAACCACAACAACTTAGAAATGTGAGAGGCAAATTCACTTCATCAGCAATTCCCAAATGTAGGGTTTCATAATCAGTCCATGTAGGAATGAGGAACTCCACACATCTCACAAACGCCCTCTACCGAGAAGTGGGTCTGACAGGAAAAAACACTCTTTTCACACATTTATGCAGCTCAAGGCACTTGATAATTCCAGGGCTAATTCCAGATTTGCACATCACAACATCTGTAGTCCCATGAAGAGCCAAGTATATTTGCCACCAAAACTACCTGCAGAAAGTACCCTAAGTATGTGTATACCTAATGTATGCACATTAAATGAAAACTGGGTTCAAATGGAGCCCCGGATGTGATCATGTTTGAAGGCCTGATCATCAGTCAAATTTAAAAAAGAAACAAAACAACAACCAAGGAACAAATACAACCTGATTTTAAACACTGAGCATTAGGAACCAAACCTTTGATAAATTTTGTAATAACACACATTACAGCGTAGATACAGCTGGAAAAAGTGGGCACACATTGTAGCAGAGAGTGATTTCTTCCAGACAGTCAAATGTACAATAACCTAGAACAACTCATGCTTTTTTTCTTGTTACTTCAATAGAGGCTTTCTTATTTTGATGGAGGGAACTCTGCAAACCAAAATGGAAATTCAGGTGCTTCCAGCACTAGACAAAGCTGGAAAGCTGGCAGAAGTGGCTTTCTCCAACATTCGTTCAGGTTCCCTTTAGGGAAACAAAACCTTATCTTACTGATACCAATTCAATTTTTTGTACCATTTTCATGGTGCTGTTTTTTTTCATGGCACGAGGATAACAGGTGCCATTACATTTAACCACGCTAATAAAGCAATGAATTGGGTGCTTAATGTTAAAGACACAGGTCATCCCTCTAAGCGCAACTGTAGCTTTATGCATGCATTTAGATTCCATTTGTTTTAAACCATATTCATTCAGTAGGACTTTAACTCATTAAAAGGTTGAGGAGCACACTGCTGAGCTGCAAACTGGAGTCACAATCCAGGCTTCAGACTCACTTAGAAACAAATGTGATACAAATATCTTCCATCCCACTTGTCAATGATAGACAACTAACAGACAGCTGCTCTTACAGATTCAAAACAAATAATGATTTTCTGTCAAGGAAGTCCCAAGGAATGGCTTGAGTTCCTTCAGCAGACTGCACTCAAAAGGACTGCACAATGCCAGCTTACTCTACTTCCATCTCAAATTATCCTCCTAATGTGGTGTTACAAAGCACATTATTGAACACACATGACAAAAGAAAAACATTGCTATTAGCTCCTCCTAGTGCGAAGATAATGGGATTCCTGTGCTTGAGCTCACATGACACTGGAGCCATTTCAAAGAAAGTGACAGTTTTATTGTGGGCCTATTTGTCACACTCGGGGGTTTTACTGCAGACACCCAAGGGGTTTGTGTTGGGTTTATCTGAAAACCTCTCTAGAATTAATTTTTTTTTTTTTTTAATTTCAATGCAGCTGTATTCCTTATGTATTCCTAGAAAAAAATCAGAGCATTGCCAGCTAAGTCTTCTTTTAGCACCTTTATCACAGGACAGAGATTCAAGTTTCCATATTGTTACTGAGGTTGACTGTTGATTGTATTGTATTAGACCATCCAGTCAGGTAAGTAATCATGTGATTCTCACCTAAAAATAAAAAGTTACAAAGTAGCATTTGTATAATGCAGATCTTTACCTAAAATGTGTTCTGAAATATTGTTTCTATCTATGCTGGAATCAAATACTGACCAAACTTCATGGGTTCATATTCATCAATTAATGTGCAAATAATCACTACTATACCAAGCATAATAAAAAGCTTTGAAAGATTTATCTCTGTTTAAAAACTAGGAGTTGTTGAGTTTTTCTACTGTGTTTTTAAACATTTCTATTTAAAGAGATCCTAATAAATTCAAATATAACTATTTTTGAGGTACATTCAACAGCAGATTTTTAATAGGCAATTCACATTTTAAAATAATTAAATTATTGAAATATTACTGATATTAAACGTGCTGAACTAACTTAGTCATTTTGTAGTATAGTGGGAACACTAGACTTGCATTTGGATGATAATTAGGCTCCATATGTATTGAAAAACAATTCACTGTAACCAAAATCGGTGCATTTTGGTGAAGGTTAGTCACCACACTGAGAACCATGGTACTTTTTTGCAGGTCGCACACACTGCGAGACATTGTTGCTTTTAGTTCATCTGGCATACACAAACATCAGCATTCTCTCTATGCAGCAGAGCAGCAGATGCAGATTGCATTAAAAACCGATACAGCACCTTTTACAGTACTCCAGGAGACAGACATTTAATTAACTGCCTGAACTAGGAGTTGTAGTAAATAACATGCACTTATTGGAGCACTTTTCACTTTCTTTGTAATTTACCCACTTGAGTAGATGCAGGGCAGGTTCCCTTTACAAAGGGTGTTCTGATGTCTTACAGCAGTTATTTCAACCGTGTCATTAATGCAGCCTTTTAGGGACACAACAGATAAATCCATAGATAAATGAACGCTGGTTCCCATCATTGCCTTTCTTCTGCCCATGTTTCCATGCCTATGGAAATGTAGGAGCATACCTGACAGAGGGAACAATGCTTTTTGATACATCAGCTTGAAGTCATGCTGCAATTACAAGGGCGACTCTCTTTTGAGTTTAGAGGCAAAAGAGTAACAGCCCCACTCTGGATTTGGTAACCCGATTTCGCTTTCCTACGCATGCCAAATAAACTACTGCATACCAGTGGGTGAATGACAAACCAGCATTTCCCCTTTGCCGGTTTCTCATCTCCATCCTTCCGCTCTCCATCTTCTCATGAAATTCCCACTGGGTTCAAACTACTGAGTTGAAGTACTTCCTTGCGGCAGTTTACCAGCAGGAGTGTCTGGCACATGCATGGACTTGCATGCACAGCTCTCCTGGAGCTGCTTCAGCTCCACACACTGAGTATGCTGGCAAATTATTAGTAGCAATTACTGCCATTAAGTTATTTGTAGCAATTTTGAGGTGGGTAATATTATTTGTTTTAATTCAATTTCTATTTCTTTGAATTCAGAAGCGTGGATCTACAGCTTCCAAGTCCTGCTGCATCCTTTTTTATTTGACTTAGTTAAAAGGTTGATAAGCTCTAGATGCTCCGGCTAGCCGGGTCCTGGCTCTTTCCGCCGGCGGCAGCCCCGAGAGCGCTGTGCAGGGGCCTCAGCCGGGACGGGGCTGGGGGCCCGGGCGGGGAGCGGCTCCGGGGGCAGGAGGGGGTGATGGTGGATACAGCGGTACCTCGGGGCGGCGGTGAAAGGCCGGCGTGGGCCAGCGGGGCAGGGGCAGGGGCAGAGGCAGAGGCAGAGGTAGGGGCAGAGGTAGGGGCAGAGGTAGGGGCAGGAGCAGAGGCAGGAGCAAGAGCGGGGCAGGGGCAGGGGCAGGAGCAGGGGCAGGAGCAGAGGCAGG